TATCATCTCACTCCCTTTTGGCCTGCAAGGTTTCTGCTGAGAAACCCACTGATAATCTTATGGGGCATACTTTGTACGTGACAAGTTGCTTTTCTCTTGCCATTTTCAAAATTTTCTCTTTTTCTTTGACATTAGATAATTTGATTATAATATATTGGTGTGAATTTCTTTGAATTCATGTTATTTAGGTTCTTTTGGGCTTCTTGGATCTGGAAGTCAATTTCCTTTCCCAGATTCAGAATTTTTCAGCTGTTATTTCTTTGAATAAGCCTTCTGAGACTTTCTCTCTCCCTTCTTCTTCTGGGACTCCCATAATGTGAATATTGGTCTGTGTGACAGTGTTCCATAAGTCTCTTAAGATTTCTTCACTCTTTTTCATTCATTTTCTTTTTTCTTTTCTGATTAAATAACTTTCAACGAACTGTCTTTAGTTTGCTAATCCTTTCTTCTGTTTGACCTAGCCTACTGTTGAATCCCTCTAGTGAATTTTTCAGTTCAGTTATTGTATTATTCAGTTCCATGATTTCTGTTTGGTACTTTTAAATATTTTCTATCTTTTTGTTGAAATTCTCACTTTGTTCATGCATTGTTCTCTTTACCTTGGTAAGTAACTTTATTATGGTTATTTTGAATTCTCTGTAAGTTATAAATCTCCATTTCATCAGAATCCATTTCTGGAGATTATCTTGTTCCTTTGTTTGAAACATATTTTCCTGTTTCTTCTTCTCCCTTGACTCTGTGTATTGGTGTCTGTGTATTAGACAAAGCAGCCACTTTTCCCAGTTGTCCTGGACTGGATTTGTACAGGAGAAGACTCACACCCATTCACCCAGAGTTTCTTGAGGCCCCTCAAAACTTTGTGCTATTCCAACCTGCCTACTTTCGTTGTAGCCCCCAGATATCTAGGGTATGCCAGGTCCCATCAGTCCCTTGGGACAAGGGAGACTGAAGCTAATGCTTCAAGCAACCCCCAGAAAAGCTGGATCATTTTATGCTCTGTCCAACTCTTTCCCACCCCTGGGAGAATCTAGGAGGTGGAGTTTTTGTCTGCTTAATCTGTGCTGAGCTGGGAGGAGGAGCTATGGTGACTACCAGCCTAAGCCAGTCTTTGTTCTTTCCCAGGCAGCTAGATTCTGCTGGTCTTATCGGCATTCCAAGACTGTCAAGATAGAAGCCAGTCTTCTGGGGAGCCTCATGGAAAGATTGGGGTTCTAGACAAGTAGACCAACTCTCTCTTTCCCTTAGTAGAAGCTGGGAGCTGGGGTTCTCTTCCTGATCACATGGCACTCTCCCAGGGGTAGGGATCCTGCCAAGAGAGTGTCCTGAATCTGCCTACAAGCATTGGCAAGTCTATTTTTGTGTTCTCCTGCAGTGGAGAAGCCTTTCAATTAATTTTTGTATTTCTCACAGAGGGAATTAGTCTGTGAATTGTTGCTGAATCTTTGTATTCATGGGAGGAAAGATGATCCAGGGCTTCCTACTCCACCATCATAAAGATGCTACTCCTGAAGGTTCTCTTTTTATTTCTATCTAGATAGGTTGTAGTTTTATTTTTATAATTCCACTTTTGTTTAAGAGAATTTAATTTGTTTTTATTATGAAGTATTTCACACGTACCAGAGAATATATATAAAATGTATATGACATATCAAGAATAATAAAACAAACATCCGGGGCTGGCCCCGTGGCCGAGTGGTTTAGTCCGCGCACTCCGCTGCTGGCGGCCCAGTGTTTCGTTGGTTCAAATCCTGGGCGTGGACATGGCACTGCTCATCAAACCACGCTGAGGCAGCATCCCACATGCCACAACTAGAAGGACCCACAACTAAGAATATACAACTATGTACCGGGGGGCTTGGGGAGAAAAAGGAAAAAATAAAATCTTAAAAAAAAAAAAATCCACATAACCTCCCACATCTAATAATTGTTTTTGTATTGAACTGATATTCTTGGTCTCTGTCTCTCAGATCTGTTCAAATTTGCTGTAACCAGAAGTCTAGGCCACTCTTGCTGTTCAGTTAAAATCTTCAGGACCCTTTGTGTGGTGGCAAAACTGCAAGTGACAGAAGGAAAAACAATCTTTTCTCCTGGGAACATGGGACATGTTCATTTGCACATTTTTGCCCTTTATCAAGGTGTAGACAGGAAGCCATTCTGACTTGTGATCTCTCAGTTTATTGTTCCCCTGATATTCTCCTAGCCCAGAGTGAGGGCTTGTGAACAGGCCACACCAGGACCAGATACCTTACTAGGTACACTTTCCCCCAAGACTACACTGGCCTGGAGTGCATTCCAAGGAACCATGCGGTACTGGATCAGATACTAGACTCTATAATGTTGATCCCTGCTCCTCTCCAGCCCAGAGATGAGCCAATCCTGTAAGTGTTTTCTCTTCCATCAATCAAAACAGAAACTGCAGCCACAAGCACACCTCCCATGTGCTGCCATAGCCTAATGTGAAACAACTATCCCACGTAAAACTAAGAATGCTCTCAACCTCTCCAAATGAGACAAGCAAAAGTCCCATTCAGTTGTATATTCAGCTTCAAATCCAGGATTCCTCTTCATCAGGAATGGATGCATATCCTTATAATCCTGAAACTTTTATTTACATCATAAATTTAATCTCTACCAACACACCCACCATACAATGGTGGAGGGGGAATAAGTCACCACAATATAAACTCTAATTTAATTAAAGGAAAATCAATGTACACGGTCATGGGTTAAGAGCACAAAGTTCATTTGGTGGGCAAAGATAGCAAGAAGTCATGTTCTGGGTAGTGCAGTGAATTCTCTGGTCAGCCAAAGAGTTGCTTTGGTTTTGTCTTTTGGAAAGGGTGTCTTTTATCCATTGTTCTCCAGGGTCAAGCCTCAGGAGGGATGATTTGAGGTGAGTCCCCTTCTGGGGTTGCGTTTTTGCACCTTCCCTTCTGTTGATTTGGTTACTAGTATCTTAAATTGCCTTAGTCTATGAGTGATCACAGTCCTTGATTACTAGCTCTGGAGTTCTGTTATAAAACAGCTCCATTTCAGTCTCAGTAGCTGCCAGGCCATTCAGTTCCTCTGGACTTCATTAGTTGAGTAGTAATTGTATTAGCTTCCTATGGCTGCTGTGACAAATTTTCACAAACTTAGTGGCATAAATAACACAGTTTATTCTCTTACAGTTCTGGAGATCAGAAGCTATTAAAATGGGTCCACAAGGCTGCTTTCTTTCTGAAGGCTCCAAGGGACAGTCCCTTTCTCTGCCTTTTCCACCTCCAGAGGCAGCTTGTATCCTTTAGCTTATGGCGCCTTCCTCCATCTCCAAAACCAGCAGCACAGCCTCTTCAATTCTTTCTCACTTTGGCTCTGTTCCTCTCCTTCCATCATCACATCACCCTCTGTCTTCTGTAGTAAAATCTTCTTCCTCCCCCTTGTAAGGACATTTGTGATTAAATTGAGGGCTGCATAATCTAGGATAATCTGATAACCTCCCTATTTTAAGATCTTTAACTTACTCACTTCTGTGAAATCTGGTTTGCAATATAAGGTAACATATTCAACGGATCTGGAGATCAGGACGTGGACATCTTGGAGGGTTGTTATACCGTTTAACATAATCATGACTCTCAAGCTCACACTTCTAATTCTATTACAGATGGCCCCTGACTTACAATGGTTCAATTTACAATTTCTTTACTTTATGATGGGGCAAAAGCAAGATGCACTCAGTAGAAACTGTACTTTGAATTTTGAAGTTTGATCTTTTTCTGGCCTGGCAATATGTGGTGTGATCCTCTCTTGTGATGCTGGGCAGTGGCATCAAGCTGCATTCCCAGTTAGCCACACGATCACGAGGGCAAACAACCCATACATTTACAACCATTCTGTACCCATCCAATCATTCTGTTTTTCACTTTCAGTACAGCAGAATTACATGAGATATTGCATACTTTATTATAAAATAGGCTTTGCATTAGATGATTTTGCCCAACTATAGGCTAATGTAAGTGTTCTGAGCGCGTTTAAGGTAGGCTAGGTTAAACTATTATGTCTGGTAGGTTAGGTGTATTAAATGCATTTTTCACTTAGCGATATTTTTAACTTGTGGTGAGCTTATCGGGACGTAACCAGGCCGAGTGCATAGACTCCCTCCCACATCCACCACCACAAGCACACAAAGCATGGGCTTTTTCTACTACTCTTCCTATTTGGATCCTTGTATTCTCTGGTCTGTATCTGTGACTTTGTGTTTCTCAGAATATGAGACCAGAGACCTCTGGGCTCCAGGATGGGACTTCTTGTCATAGCAAACACCATGTCTTCCCAGAAAAGAATCTGCCATATCTCACTCCTTTTTCCAACCCACCTTTATGTCTGTGCTTTTCTACAGGTTTTCATTTTCCAGAGGTTTCTGTGGTTGAATTGCTTCTTCCTGCCAACTTAGCTCAATTAGAGAGGGAGCTCCCTAAGAGATGTTCTCATCTCCTTCTTCTATAACCCTCAGTAGCAGTGACTAAAGAGCTCACCCGCCCCTGAATCTTTATTGGAAATCTGGGATGGAGACTGTGGCGGTGAAGTTGTGGAGAGAAGGAAGAAGAAGAGGAAAGGGGACACTTACTCAGAATGCCAGGTTCTAGGAGGGAAGCAGGATTTGTGAGGGGTCCTCAAGCTAGAGATGTGAGGGTTGAGTGCAGGCCCGCACACATATCTGTGTGGGAGTATGTGGGAGGGAGGGAAGATGATAGTGGAAGGAATAAGCCTGAGATAAGGAGAGAGTTGAGCTAAACCAGAGATCTAACTTTACCTTCACATGAGATGCTCCTTTCAAATAAATATGGTGGTGACTCATACCCCAGGCCGATGAGTGACAGACAGCATGATGGTACAGGCAGAACAGGCCTCCTGGGTCCTACCTGGCAGAAGGGATTAGCCTTGGGGAATGGAAATCTCCTTCCCAGAAGAAAGTGAGGGAAACATAAACCACTGATAGATTTCTCTTTCTCTACCCACAGATCCTCTATTTCATCTTGTCCTTGCCTGACAGCACCATCCATCGGCCCCCAGGACCCCGTGCTGCCTCTAAATCTGCCTGCAAGCCCACAGAATATCCCTCCCACTTGTCCTTTCTCCCCCAGGAGCTCGCCAACCTGACCCATCTTCTGTACTGGCCTCCAACCCCAGGGGATGAAGGGGACATTTTGGCCTCCACCAGCCCCCAGACCTCCACCTACCGCCTGAGGGGTCCTGCCCAGGCTAGCTATGCCCTGGGAGGCTACCTGGAGGCCATCCTTGTGGCCAGAGACCACCGGGGCAGGCCCAAGACCCATGGTGGGGATCTGTTTCGGGCACAGCTGCTGGGTCCTGGCTTGAAGGCGGGGGTCCCTGGGGATGTCCAGGATCTGGAGAATGGCACATACCTGTTGTCTTTCCCTCTGCTCTGGGCTGGGCAGGCCCGTGTACAAGTGCGGCTGATCCACTCCAGTGAGGCAGTTGGGGTTCTACGAAGAATCTGGAGAGAGAAAAGGGCCACAGTTGATTTTAGAGGGTATTTCCGGGGACCCACAGGAGCTGAAGAGACTGTGATTTGTAATGTTGACCCCCAGTCAACTGGAGCGAAAGGGCCTACCTGCCAGTACAGGGATGTGGTTTCAAGTGAGCTCTGGTTCTGTGCTCAACCACCTACCCTGCCCTGCAACTCTTTGGTCGGACACTCAAGTGGGAGTTACCTGAAAGTGACTGTACCACATGATGAGGCCCTGCTGGCATGGTAAGAAACTCAGAATCCAGGATGTCTGCCCCAACCCTAAGCCACACCCTTCCTTCTAAATATTGTCCCTGTAACCCAATGCCCTTCCCTCAGTTTACATCACTCATTTACTTATACTCTCATTCAACACATGCTTATTGAACACCTGTTATATGACAGACATTTCCAGACTGACATATACTACATTATACCAGTCAGCCTATCAATTGATCTGAGGTTTAAAGGAAAAATATGAGTTATCCAGGGAAGATAAGAGATAAGGTATTCAAGACAGAGCAAACGACATCAGGGCAAAAGTGGCTTGAGTGTGTCATTCATTTATCTAAATTTCTATCTTCACTTAGATTTTCATCTGAACATTGCTTATTATTTTGTTAGATCTTCAATTATTTAAATAGATTTTAAAGATATTTGTCCATAACTTTTAATCATTCTCAATGTAAGAGCTGGTGTGAATACCTGGGTCTGCCATATTACTAGGAAAAGGAAGTCTCCATTCAATTTCATTTGTTTCTGCTGGTATCTTCTCAGAAATAGGTTCCTCCTATTTCTTTTAGGATTTCCTACCTTTTTCCAGTTTCATGATCCAGAACAATCAATCCATCTATTTCAGTCTTTCTTATATGGAGTAAAAATTGTTAAGACTATAAATTTCCTTCTGACTACAGCTTAAGCTGTATCCTACAATTTTTGTATGAGAGCTTTGTTTTCATTCAGTTTTACATGTTTCATCATTTCTACAGTGAATTCCTCCTTAACTCATGAATTATTCAGGAATTATTTTTAGTTTCTGAATAGAAAGTAGGGAGGTGGCTATCTTTGTATGTTTTTTTCTTAATTTATTTGCATTATGACAAGAAATATGGTTTCTATGATATTGATTCTTTGAAATTTGTTGAGAATTTATTTGTGATGCAGCAAATGCCTGATTTTTCCTTCATAGTCTATGTTTCCTTGAAAATAATTTGTATTTTCTATTCCTTCAGAATGGAATTCTGAACCTATTTGATTTAGCTTATTTTTTTTATCCCAAACATGTATATGTTCACTAATATTGTGTCTGCTTAATCTATTAGTTTCAGACATAAATGTATTATACTGTTTTTATAGATTTGACAGTTTATACATTTCAAGGCTATATTGTTTAGTACATTCAACTTTGTGATTGTGTTTTATGTTATTAGTAAATTATTCATTTTACTTTCTTGCTTTTTGTCTTATGTTCTAATTTTTACAATGAATATTGCTATTATAGCTTTCATTTGCTTAGTATTTTCTTGGTATACTTTTTTCATGTCTTTATATTTCAAAATTTCTTTGTGAAATAGTTTCAGGCAAGTCTCTTGACATGACATTGTGGCATTTGTTTAGACCTAGTTACATAAATCATGGAAGAGACTAGATCCATAAACATAACTAACTTTATCTAAACATAGTAGGTATTCAAACCAATGGGGTACATATTGGATAGTAAATAAAAAGAAAAGAATGTGATTAGATCTAAACCTCACAGTATATGCATAAAGATCAATGCCAGGGGGATTAAAAACCTAAATGTGAAAAAGCAAATCTTAAAACTCAAAGAAGATAATAGCAGGAAATATCTTTATGATTTTGGATTAAGAAAATGTTATTTTAGGTATAACAAAGGCACAACTCATAAAATAAAATATTCATAAATTGGGCAATATATAAATCAAAAATGTTTCCATTACAAAAAGTCCCATGAACATAGTTTAAGTCAAGATGTAGACTGGAAGGTGATATTTTTGACACAAATAATTGGTACAGGATTAGTACTTACAATAGATAAAGAAATCTTATAAGGAATACTATTCAGCCATAAAAAAAGAGAATGAAATCTTGCCATTTGCTGACCACATGGGTGGACATTGAGGACATTATGCTAAGTGAAATAAGTCAGACAGAAGAAGACAAACACCATGTCATCTCACTTACATGTGAAATTTAAAAAACAAAAACAAAAACCAAGATCACAGATAACACAGAGCAGATTGGGGGTTGCCAGAGGTGGAGGATCGGGGCTGGGTGAAATGATTGAAGATGGTCAAAAGGTTCAAACATCCAGTTATAAAATAAAGGTCATGGGAATGTAATGTACAGCATGGTGACAATAGTTAATAATACTGTATTGTATATTTGAAAGTTGCTAAGAGAACAGATCTTAAAAGTCTATCATTATAAGAAAAAAAGTTTAACTAAAAAAAGAACTCTTACAAAACAATAAAAAAATTATACAGCTAAATAGAAAAATGGGCAAAAGATATAAACAGGAAACCACAGTAGAAAAAATTTAAAAATATACTCAAACTCATGAGTAATCAGGGAAATTTAAATTAAAACCAAAATATGATATCCTTTAATAATTTTTATACTAACAAAACTTTGTTTTTTGCTGAGGAAGATTGGAGCTGGGCTAACATCTGTTTCCAATCTTCCTCTTTTTGCTTGAGGGAGATTGTCCCTGAGCTAACATCTGTGCCAATCTCCTTTTATTTTGTGTGTGGGGTGCTGCCACAGCATGGTCTGATAAGCAGTGTGTAGGTCCGTCTCCTGGAATTGAAAGTGTGAATGCCAGGCTGCTCCAGTGGAGCACGTGAACTTAACCACTATGCCACCAGGCTGGCCTCCCTCACAAAGCTTTTTCATCCAACAAAAACAAGTGTGATGAGGATATGTAGAAATGGAATATCTCATATACATCTGGTGAGCGTGTAAATAACAACTTTGGAGAGCAATTTAACAATACCTAGTAAAATTGAAGATTCATATAATCTACCATCCAAAGATTTGCTTTCTATGTAGAATTGTAGAGAAACTTTCTCAGATGAGACCCAGGGCACATGTGAAAGAATGTTCATTGCAGACATTGTCTGTAATAACAAAATATTAGAAACTATCTAAGTGACAATCAATAGGAGATGGATAAATGAATTATAGTGTATCGGAACAATGGAATCATATAGAAGTTAAAATGAATAAAGAGCACCTATGTCTTATAATTTTATAATTATAAATCTTGAAAGCATAAGGAGTCAAGTAACAGTACACACATATGATACCATTTATGTAAAGTTTTAAAAGTTGCAAACAATACTATTGAATATTTTAGACACATAAATATATATAAAATGTATAAGATGTGGATGAGAATCATGAATGCTTACGATAGTGACTACATCCTTGTGGGCAGCGGAAGGGAAAAGGCAGTAGTGTGGAAGGCGAATCTGTGGTAACTTTGATCTATTTCCTTTTTTTATTTAACTTTTTATTGTGAAATAATTGCAGACTCACAGGAAGCTGTGAAAATAGTATATAGAGTCTCGTGAACACTTTAGCCGGCTTCTGCCAATGATGACATCTCATATATGTTATACAACATGAAAACAGGAAAACTGACATTGGTAAAGGACTGTTAACTAGATTTCAGACCTTATTCAGTTTTTACCAGCTTTTACATGCATTTATTTGTGTGCGTGTGTGTGTAGTTCTTTGCAAATTTACCCCATGTATAGACTTGCGTAACCAACACCACAATCAAGATATAGAAATGTTTCATTCATGCTATCCCATTATAGTCATTCCCACACCCCCATTCCTGTCCCTGTCACCTGGCAACTACCAATCTGTTCTCCATCTCTATAGTTTTGTCACCTTAAGAATATTATATAAGTGGAATCATACAGTCTGTAACCATTTGAGATAGACTTTTTTCACTAAGCATAATGCCTTTGAGATCCATCCAAGTTATTGCATGTGTCAATAATCCATTCCTTTTTATTGCTGCCTGTTATTCCATTGCATAAGTTTGTTTAACCATTCACCCTTTGAAGGACATTTAGGTTGTTTCCGGGGTTTGACTATTATAAGTAAAGCTTCTATGAATATTCATATATGGGTTTTTACGTGAACATAAATTTTCATTTCTCTGGAATAAATGCCTGAGTGCGATTGCTGGGTTGTGCAACTGGTGGATGTTTAGTTTTATAAGAAACTGCCGAACTATTTTCCAGAGTGTTCGTACCATTTTACATTGCCACCAGCTATGCCTGAGAAGTCCAGTTTCTCTGTACCTCTGCAACATTTGGTGTTAACACTAGTTTTTATTTTAGCTATGGATTTCTTTCTTTCTAAAGAAAGATCTAATTCAAACGTGGCAAAATGTTAAAATATGATAGAGCTGGATGTTGAGTACACAATAAAATAACTTAAAATGTGCTTAGAAGGTAGGAGAAGAAGACAGATAACCATGGCAGATGTCTTTCAACAAGTTGTCCTATGAAGGAAAGGAACCTGATGGAGTTGTAGCTACAGGAAGAGGTAATGGAAGAGGGGCTTGATTTAGTGGAGTAGGTTGTGATTATGTTTATATTCTGGAAGGAAAGAACTCAAGGGAAGAAGTTAAAGATGGTGCAAAAAAGGAAAGTGGTGCCATCTAAAAGATACAGAAGGAGATAGCGTTAGGGTTCAGTGTCACCTCTTCTTGTGAACATGGTAAGGAGGAAGTAAGGATGGGTGTAGAAGTTGATATGTTTTCTGGTAAGGGAGTTAATATTGAGAGAGCTCCTCTGTAAATAAGGAGGTACTGTCCCCACCTCTCTTTCTCCTGCCCTTGGATGTGAAGAGAGAAAGATAAGGTGAGTGCCCAGTCTCAGCTTTGAGGAATGGCAGAGACATCTAAGTGGAAACACATGAAATGACTGCCCAATAGTATTTCCAGCGTCACCAGAACTGGAGCCCATCAATTCTTTTTCTTTCTTTCTTTCTTTGGTGAGGAAGATTGACCCTGAGCTAACATCTATTGCCAAACTTCCTCTTTTTGCTTGAGGAAGATTGTCACTGAGCTAACATCTGTGCCAATCTTCCTCTATTTTGTATATGGGATGCTACCACAGCATGGTTTGATGTGCAATGCGTAGGTCTGCACCCGGCATCCAAACATGTGAACTTCAGGCTGCCAAAGCAGAGTGCGTGAATTTAACCACTATGCCACCAGGCCAGCTGGCTTCAGCCCATCAATTCTAGAGACAGCAGTTCATACATTTGTGCAACAAATATTTATTGTTATTTAATAGCTATTTGTTTAATTACAGCCTAATCCTATGGTCTGAGTTTTTTGTTTCAATTGAAAACATTGTTTTAAATCTACTTCATTAAGTGTAATTTACATACAGTGAAACGTACTTGTTTCCAAGGTGCAGTTCCATGAGTTTTGATAAATGTGTGTACCCATATAACTGTCACCACAATCAAGATATAGAACATTTCCATCGCACCTAAGATTCCCTTGCGTCCCTTCATGGCCAATTTCCCTCACTCATCTCTAGCCCCAGGCAAACAGTGATTTGTTTTCTGAAAGTATATATTAATTTTGCCTTTTCTAGAACTGCATAAAAATGGAATCAGACTGTATGCACTGTTGTGTCTGGCTTCTTTGCTCAGTAAAATGTTTTTGAGGTTCATCCGTGTTGTAGTTGTACATCAGTAATTTTTTCCTTTTTATTCATGAATTGTGTTGCATTGTATGGATATACCACAGTTTGTCCATTCACCTCTTGATGAACATTTAGGGTTGCTTCCAGGTTTTGGCTGTTATGAATAAATCTACCGTGAACATTGAGGTATAAGACTTCTGCAGGCAAATATTTTTGTTTCTCTTTGATAAACACCTGTGTGTGGAATTGCTGGAAGCTTTTTGTTACCATACTTTATTGTTTAGAACAGTTGTAGATTTACATAGAAATTGAGTAGATGGTACAGAGAGTTCCCTTATCTGCTTTCGCCCCCAGTTTCCTCCGTTATTAACGTCGTACATTGATGTGGTATATTTGCTACAATTCGTGAGCCAATATCGATGCATTATTATTAACTAAAGTCCACGGCGTATTTAGGTCTTTCTGGTTTTAACCTAATGTCCCTTTTCTGTTCCAGGATCTCATTCAGATACTTCATGACACTTAGTTGTCATGTCTCCTAAGGCTCTTGTTGGCTGTGACAGTTTCTCATACGTTCCTTGTTTTTGATGACCTTGACAGTTTTGAGGAGTGTTGGTTAATTATAGTGTAGTATTCCTGTCTGTTGGAATTTGTCTGACGGTTTCCTTATGATGAGATGAGGGTTATGGGGTTTTGGCAGGAAGATCACAGAGGTAAAGTTACATTGTCATCACATCATATCAAGGGTACACACTGTCACCACGATTTAGGAGCCTTGATGTTGCCCTAGTCACTTGGCGGGGGCAGTGTTTGTCAGATTTCTCCCCTGCAAAGCTACTTTCCCCATCCCATCTTTGGACATCACTCTGTACAGCCCACACTTCAGGAGTTGGGGGTTATGATCCCTATTGTCTGAGCATTTATGTAACAAAAATGATTCTGCTCCATGTTCCTTCCAGAATTTAGTGCCAGGAAACCTTTGTCTCTCCTGGCACGCTTGTCCATTCCCTTTGATCAGAGAAGAACTACATGCTCCAGCTCGGGTGTACTCTTATTACCTGGACTGTTAGTGAACTGAGGGCCAATGGGTGGGTTGATTACTGAAGGTCCTTCTCCCAGATTCCGCATACGATTTTCTCTTCCTTCCATCATTTTTTTGGAACTCCTTATTGTAATTGCCTCAAACTGTAAACGTGCTAATTATATTGTAACTAGCTCAAACCCTGTTGGACTCAGGAAGAAGAGAAATTACAAGCCAACCATTGTATGCCCATACTGGACTCAAGCTAACACTGGTTGCCTTCCCTCAGTGCTCACTCTTGGTGTTTCTCTAGGAATGTGACAGACAAGGTGCTCCCACAGGGCATTTCTCCAATCCAGATCAGAATGGCAGCCACAGGGAACAGCAGCCTGGGTGAGTGGGACTGGCACATGCTGGGTGGAGGGAGGTAGGGGTAAAAGACTTAGAAGGGTTCTATTCCTTGACTGAGAGTTTAACCACAGCCCCCCTGCCAGGTAAGTGTAGCATAGTGGTTAGTAACATGGGCTGTAAAGTCAGACTTCTTGGGTTCAAATGCTACCACTGCCCACCACTATTCTTGATCACGGGTAAATTGCTTAACAATTCAGTGCCTCAGTGTTCCCACTTGTAAATGGAGATGAGAATCGTATTTCATGGATTTTTGTAAAAGAATGAATGAAATAATACATGGAAAGCACATAGAAGAGTGCCTGGTATTTTGTAAGCTGTAAATGTGAGCTCTCTTCTGCTTTTTCCTTTCCTGTAGCCCTGTCCCCACAGCTCCCCTGCCGCCCTGGGCTCCCGGCCTCAAAGCCCTCTGGTTTCTACCACCAAGATGTGTGGCACTCACTGTCTTGCTCCGGCCGCTCCTTCTCCACTGCTGACAGCATCCTGGGCTGCCTGGCTGGCCACGTCATCCACATGATCGGGGACTCCACGCTTCGGCAGTGGTGGGAGTATCTGCGAGACAAGGTCCCCTGTGAGTGGCTGTGAAGGGAGAGGGCAGGACACCTGAAGCCCCATGTAGGAAGAGGTGAACAGGCAGGGCTCTGAGAGACAAGACTCCTGTGTTTGTGGTAGAGACATGTGGCAGGATGCTGGGACTTTTCCAAGGGCAAGTGAGCAAGGGAATCAGAGCTGGGAGGATGTAATTATTACCTTTCCGGTTTAGTTTACCAGAAGTTATGTAATGAGCTCAAATGACAGCATAAAAAAACACCTTTCAAATAATACAATTTCTGATAATTCAAAAACAGTCCCCCCATTTAGTTTCTAATTAAAAACCCCATTTCCTCTCTTAAGTAAAATCAACATGTGAAGGACAGAAAGTTCAAACTTTTGTCTCCCATCCCACCTCAACTTCTTTCTTTCTTTTATTTTTTTTGCTTGCTGCTGCATCCTGACCAGCAGCTGGTGGAAATTTGGTTCTCTTTGCACCTAAAACCCAAGTGACTTCTGCTGAATGCATGTAGTTTCCTCAGCCTCTCCAAAGTCAAATTAATCTGACCCCAAATCTTCCACGTGTACCATTTGTCTACATAGTCAAGATTAATGGGAAACAGAAAACTATCACAAGACTTGTGAGTTACCTCCCATTTAGAAAAGAAAACCAACGCTTAGCATCTGTAGTGGTTATTTTAAGTAAGATGATGTCCTAAGCAAGCGGTACCTGGTACAAAAATATTCCAAGTCTTGAAGATATGTGAGGAGGAGGAGGGTGGAACAGAAGAGCTAGCCAGAACGCCCGTCAGACTGGGGCTGCCGTTCATTGATCGTAATCTCTGTGAACTCAATTGCAAATTAGCAGCTGGCTAATTGTATCACTTGCTTACCGCGTTTTTGAGGAAAGTCCACCTAAGCTTTTATTTCCCATCTCAGACAGAAATCACAGATACATTCCTGTCTTCCTGCAAAGTTTAGAAATTTGCCATACTGTCACCCTCAGTCACTAGGCCTAATTTGTGGTTCCTCTTTATTTTAAAGAGGTGTAATTGACAAACCATAAATAGCACATATTTAAAGCTTAGAAGCTGATGTTATAACATATGTGTACACCCAGGCAACAATCTCCACAAATAAAATAGCATATCCATCACCCAGAAAAGTTTCCCCTGGCCTTTCCTAACTCCTCTCTTTCACCCTTCCCACTCCCTCACTTCCACCCTCCTTCCCCAGGCAACCACGCATCTGCTTCATGTCTCACTAGCTTAATTTGCATTTGCTACAACTTCATATAAATGGAGCCATATGATGTGTACTCTTTTTTGTGTGTGGCTTCTTTGACTCAGCGTAATTATTTTGAGATTCATCCACATTTCTGTGTATGGCATTAGTTCATTCCTTATTTATTGCTGTGTAGTATTCCCTTGTGTGGATATACCATTATTTGAATACCCATTCATCTATCGATGGACCTGTGGGTTGTTTCTAAGTTTTAGCTATAACAAATAAACCTGCTAGGAATATTTGTGTACAAGTCTTTGTATGGGTATACGCTTTCATTTCTCTTGAGTAAATATCTTAGAGTGGAATGGCTTGACCATGTGATAGGTGTATATTTACCTTTTTAGGAAACTTCCAAACTTTTCTGCAAACTAGTTGTATCATTTTACGTTCCCACCATCATGGAAACTTCTAGTTGCTCTGTATTCTCACCCATACTTGGAGAAGTCAATCTTTTAAATTTTAACTCTACTAATAGGTATGAGTGTTAACAATGGCCCAGTCAAGCATTTTTTATGATGGCTGCTTTAAAAACCCTTTTCAGATAATTCCAACATGTGAGTAACCTTGGTGTTTGCACTTGCTGATTGTCCTTTCTCATTCAAGTTGTGATTGTGTGGGTTGTTGGCATCATGAAGGATTTTCTGTTGTTTGCAGGACCTTTTGAGTAGTAATTTGTGAGTCTCTGGATCTCATTTTACCTTTGTTTTCCCAGCAGATAGTCACTCTGTGTAGATGTACTGTGCAGGTTCAGGTGGGTGTATTTTCAGCTCCCTTTTGAGGCCTGCTGGTGCCATCCCAGTGAAAATGGAGCACCAGCTCCCACAGCCTCGTTGTCACTGGGTGAAGGTGAAGTTCAGCTCCATACGTTGCCCTGCTGACATGAAGGGCAGTGAGCACAGTGCCAACTAGCATTTCTGTTCTCCACCTTTTTCTGCTATTTGGCTTCCAGCTGGGAGTGGAGGCTTAGATCCCTCCTGGAGTCAATTTTCTTTGATTTGATGTACATATCACTTTGATTCTTTCCATACTACAAAGAACCAATTAGCTATCTCAGATATTTTTCAAAAACACTCAGTAGGTGGAATACATAGAATGGATACCACATTAGAAAAATTAGTAAGCTAAAAGATTCTTCCAGAATTCAGGTCATCTCCCTCAGCACTATAATATTCTGTAGAATACTCTTTACCCTGTTATAGTTAATAACTCTTTATATCCACTTTCTCTGTTCAGATTAATGTGCAATTTCTTTCTCCTGATTGGACCTTGACTGAAACACTAGTAATTTCTAATGATTCAACTTTTGACATTTCTCATTTTTATAGTAATAAAAATAGCCCTGCAATTTCAGCGATTTTACACACTGAAAGTTTATTTCAAACCCACCCAAAGGCCAGTGATTGTTTGGGAGCAGCCTTCCACATTGCTGTCCTCAAAGCTGTGACTTTGGAACCCAGGTCCCTTTAATCCTCTGTCTCCACTGTCCCCTAGGGCCTCCCCAGAGGATCGTCTGCACCCAGCCCACTGATAGGGAGAAAGAGAGAGAGAAAGTGAGAGAGAGAGAGAGAGTGGAGGGTTGTATGGGATGCTTTATGTCCAGGCGTGGAAGTGGTGTACGTCTTCGTTGCCCAAGTTCCATCACCACAACCTGGTCATGGTCCAAACAGAGAATTTGGGAAACATAGTCTTTAGACAAAGAAAATGAGGTCATGAGCAACTAGCTAGCCTCCTCTTCCCATGTACTTTCCGATGTTTTTCCAATACTTTCCAATGTATTTTCATTAATTTTAGTCGTATCAGTTAACTGTGTTTATATTTTTATAATCATGTAAATATTTTTCTCTTCATAGTTAAAACTAATACAGTGATTTAGGTTCTTGTGTAGCCTTTTGTTTTCCCTTGTCTTTCCCTCTCTCCCACTTTGCCTCCCTCCTTCCCTCCTTTCTTTCTTTGCTTTTTCTCTCGTTTTTCATCAATGCCTATTTATTGAGCACCTCCAATGTCCAGGCACTGTTCTAGGAATATGGCAGTGAACAAAACAAAACATCAAGATTGCTGGGGCTAGTCTGGTGCTGTAGCGATTAGGTTTGCACACTCCCCTTGGCGGCCCGGGGTTTGCATGTTCGGATCCCAGGCGTGGAGCTGGCACCATTCATCAAGCCATGCTGTCGTCCTGTGGTGGCCTTCCACTTTAAATGGAGGAAGATAGGCACAGATGTTAGCTCAGTGACAATCTTCCTCAAGCAAAGACAGGAAGATTGGCAACAGATGTTAGCTCAGGGCCAATCCTCCTCACACACACACACACACAATTCAAGATTCCTGTTTTGTTGTGCGTAAACTCCAGTGGAAAGTATCAGAAGCAAGTAACAAAATAAATATACATACAATTCCAGATAGTGAAAAGTTCTGTGAAAAAAAATATGAAAATACAAGATGGAGAGGAGGAGGAAGATAGATTAGATAGTCAGGGCAGGTGCTTTAGAGACAGTTTCATTTGGGCTGAGTCCAGAATGATAAGAAGGAGCCAGTTATGTGACGATCTTAGTAATAATCTCTGACCCATTCAACCCTCTGCCTCTTTCGCAATTATACCTGTGCACCTGAACACAACTGGAGGAAAACTTTCAACCATGCTGGCTGCTCCCTCTTGAAATGCATGCCCATGAACCTCCAGGGGCCCTAATGCTGCACAGAAATCAAGGTGGTTCTCAAAATGTGGTGCCTGGATCTCCCCAGCATCACCTGGGAGCTTATTAGAAATGCAACTTCTCACACCCCACCCTAGACCTACTGAATCAGAAATTCTGGGGAGGAGCTCTGTCTGTGCTTCAGCATGCCCTCCAGGTGATTCTGATGGGCACTGAATTTCGAGAGCCACTGCTCTGGTCCCAGGTCCCCCAGATATCACTCTCCTAGTTGACTACTTCACAGCTTCTCCTCTCTCCTGAAAGCTGCCTCAACCTCGCACTCAGCTGATGATCTAACATATTTTCTTGAATAAAATGAGGCAACTGGAAATGAAATTCTACAGCCTCTTACCACATTTCCTCATCTACCAGCATCAGTATTAGTATTCTCTGTCTTCCCACCTGCTTTTGTAAATTAGCTCTCCATGCTCTTCTCCACGGCTGGTCCTTCAACTTCAGCTCCAGATCTCATCCCTTCTTGCCTACTCAAACACATCTCTCTACCAGTTTCCCCCTCTGCCTCCTAAATCATCTTTCCTCTGAACTGCGTTATTTCCATCACATGCCCACCAGCATATAAACATGTGACTTTTTACTTTGTTTTCATATTCTTAAGTATTTGAGGCAATTACAGACATCATGACATTCCACCCCCAAAATATTTCAGTATAAATCTTTTAAAAACAATATTTTTAAACATAATCAAAATAAGATTATCATGCCTAACAAAATGAATAATAATCCTTAGCTCTAATATCCAGCTGATATTCAAATTTCCTCTATTGTCCTTCAAAAATCTATACAGTTGTCTTTTCAAAGCCAAATCCATTCCAGGACCTGGTTGTTTGCTCCCTTGATTTCTTTAAATCCAGGCTAGTCCTTCCTTTCCTTCACCCTTCTTTAAGGAAAAGTCAGGACCAGTTGTCTTGTCAAATATTTCACTTTCTGATATTTCTGATTGCTTCCTTATGGTGACATTTAGTTTGCCCTCTATTTCTTATAAACTGGAATTTAGAGTTAAAGGCTTGATAGATTCAACTTGAGCATCGGCATAAGTGATGTTGTAAGTTCTGTTTGCAGCACGTTGGGGGATGTATAGTATCTGATTGTTTACCATGAGTGATGATAAGAACAACCACTGGATAAGGGGGTAAAAACCCGATCCCTCCACGGTACAGTTATGTTTTCCGCTTTGGACCAGAAAGGAATCTACTGGTGTTGTTTTAGCATTGTATGAATTCTAGAACTCTCCGTTAACTATTCTCCTAATGATTTTAACACAGCTGACAATTATTGCCTGTATCAATCATTATATATGTGTTACAAAAGGGTGATTTTCTAACTTGATTGTTCTTTCTACACTATTAGCTGGCCTTTTTAAGTAAAAATAATGTTTTCTCTCATTAAGTGGAGCTAATAGGTTACCTTGAAAGATAGCTTCTCCTGGGAGGGCAAGAAAATGTTAAACTATTTCCCTTTAATTACCAAATTACCATTAAAAGAGCTGGTTTAAAATGGTGGCAAATGACTCCTTTTATGAATATCATTATGGATACATGGATTTTTATAACTTTCGTGTGATTGAACCTGTATTTTATTATAAAATCATTATTTTCTCTAAGTGCTTTCTTTCATTATTTTCTCTAATATTCTAATTTTCACAATCTCTGCCAAGTTGGCTCCTTTGTCCTTTTTGACAGACCTCCAGCATTAGAAAGGTTCCTTGATTTCTGGCACAGAGTTATTGTAGGCTCACTTTGTACTAGTCTGCCCTAGACCTGGAATTTGTTGATTCTTCAAGAATTCATGGGAAATTAGAAATTAATATCTGAGTTTTGTAAGTGCTCATTATTATTGGGGTATCATTATTTCTAGGCCATTCAACAGACAGAAGATGTAGATAGATGGTAGACAGGTAGATGATAGATGGATAGACTAAAAATCATGAAGTCATATTGACATTTCAAATTGATTTTAGAATTAGTGTTTTATTTTATTTGAATTTATGTTTGTATCTAATTTACGTATACAAAAATCTAAATTTAAATATATAAACACAATTACTTACCTGCTGTATCCTATCATAGTAAAAGAAAAAAGTAATTTCAAAGTAACAATACCGCCATTACTAGTAACAATAAAACCACTGAATGCAGTTGAAAGATCTGTTTATAGATGACCAGGGCTGTGTTGAAAGGACTCAGAAGTCAGCTTGCACTGGACCAAAAATAAAAACAAAAGAGAACATTTGATTATCAACAAAGACAAAAAACTGCAGTGGATTGAAACACAACAGACATGCTTAAATCCACAGATTTATAATGATAACGTTTTGGACAATTTTAGGCAACCAACTTGTTATTTTAATAACTGATAAGTAAAGAGAATCAAGTCTTTATCCTGTCTTTCCTATATAACCAAATGGCAGGAGAGGGGAAATTTCTCTCTATAAAAATATTCCAACTAATAAATAAAGAAGGAATGGTAACACTAGAATATCATCATTCTGTAACCCCTAATGAATTAATGGAGTTAGTCCATTATCATCAATAGCTGCTCACATCACAGAGTGGAGCTATCCAGACAATATGTGGCTCCTGATGGAAGCACACAATCACTACCTGTGAAGCATTGCTCCCCAAAATGAAGCACTGCCCCCAAAAATGGAATCTGAATTCGATGAAACCTCTTGAGCTAACCACTAATTATGGGAAATGCAGAGGATAGAGGAAAATGTTAAACACTATTGATGTTCAAAGCCAACTATGGGAAACTATAGAACAAACAACATGGTTTCTTTGACAAAGAATTGCAAGTGGAAAAAAAAAAGCAGGTGGAGGAGGGGAAGCCGATAGATTGAAAAAAATCTGAGAGACCTAACCACCAATCACAATGTGTGAAACTTATACCATCTGAGCCAACTGCAATATTCCTTTGTAATTCTTTTTGTCCTTAGAATGCATCTCCCTAAGTACAAAGAACTGTGTCGTGAAGTCACTTGAAATAAATTCTTTCTCTGTGTGCTTGTTATCAGTTTCATAAATATTTAGGTTTCTATCTTTCATTTATGTTCCCAGTTTCATGGATTGCACATTTCAGATTTAATTTTTGAATATGGATATACATGAATAGTTTCATATACATGAATCAAAAGTCAAAACTATATAGAAAATTACTCAGAAAGAAGTCTTGTTTCCATACCTTCCTCTCAAACTCCATTTGCCTTCCATCTATGGTAACTATTTTGTTGATTTCTTATTTATCCATCAGATATTTCTTTTTACAAATATAACCTTTTGTGCATCTGTATGCATGTCCTGGGAAGCAGGGGCTAGAGCTTTTATTTGTACAAGAGGATGGTACACAGTCCTGTATCAACCCTTAAGCCTCTTCTCTCCTTCTCCCCACAGCTCTGAAGCCAGTGGATCTACATGCCATACATCAGGCAGGGCCCCTGATGGCGGTGGAGACCACTCGGGGCATCGTGTTAAACTGGCGAGCCCACGGCTGGCCCCTGCGCTGCCTCCGTGCACCAGTGGCCTCCTTGCATTCTGTGGCCCAGGAGCTGAGCGGCCTGGCCGGGGGCCCCCACACGGTGGTGGTGCTGGGCCTGGGTGCTCACTTCACCACCTTCCCTCCATCCATCTTTGTGCGAAGACTGGCAGGGATCCGGGCAGCCGTGGCTGCACTGCTGGCCCGGGAACCCCGCACTCTTGTGATCATCAAACTGGCCAACACCGGCTACAAGTCCGTGTATGGCAGCGACTGGTTCACCCTGCAGATTAACCGGCTCCTCCGAGCTGCCTTTGCTGACCTCCGTGTGGCCTTTGTGGACGCCTGGGAAATGACCTCCAGTCTGGCCCTGCCCGACAACATCCACCCAGGACGGCTTATCGTCAGCAACGAGGTGGACGTCCTCCTCTCCTTCATCTGCCCCGCTTAAGCCCTCCTGCAGGTTTTGGAGCTGTGTGGACGGAGGCCGTCGGGATTGTGAAGAGGACCGGAGACATGATGGGACCCTGAACTAGCAGTGATTCAGAGAAGAGTGATTAACCCAAGACTTACTACCTAGGGTTAATCACTGTTAACATCTTGGTGACCATCTGTTCATACGTTTGCCTATGCATCACACATATATGTGTGTAATTCTACATAAATGAGATGATATTTTACATGCCTTTTTCTTTTTTGAGGAAGATCAGCCCTGTGCTAACATCCGTGCCCATCTTCCTCCACTTTATACGTGGGATGCCTGCCACAGCATGGTTGACAAGCAGTGCGTAGGTCTGCACTGGGATCCGAACCTGTGAACCCCAGGGCCAGCAAAGTGGAGGGTGCTAACTCAAATGCTACACCACCAGACCGGCCCCATGCCTTCTTTTTAATTCTCTTTTTTGGAAATTTTTATTGGTTTAATCGTAGATTATGCAGTTGTAAGTTATAATACACAGAGATCCCTCATACTCTTTCCTCAGTTTCTCCCAATGGCAACATCTTGCAAAACTATAGTACAATATCGCAACTGGGATATTAACATTGGTACAATCCACCAATCTTATTCAGATTTCCCCAGTTTTATTGTATTTATTTGTATATGCATGTATTGAGTTTTATGCAGCTTTGTCCCATGTATATGTTCATGTCTAATTCTTTTTTTTTTGCATTTTGATGAGGAAGATTGGGCCTGAGCTAACATCTGTCACCAATTTTTCTTTTTGCTTAAGGAAGATTGTCACTGAGCTAACGTCTGTGCCAGTTTTCCTGTATTTTGTACGTGGGACATCACCACAGCATGGATTGATGGGCGGTGTGTGGGTCCACACCCAGAATCCAAACCCACAAACCCCAGGCCACTATTCTTGATTCTGGGTAAATGGCTTAACAATTCAGTGCCTCAGTGTCCCCACTTGTAAATGGAGATGAGAATAGTATTTCATGGACTTTTGTAAAAGAATATATGAAATAATACATGGAAAGCACATAGAAGAGTGCCTGGTATTTTGTAATCTTGGCAAGCCATGCCGTGGTAGGTGTCCGACATATAAAGTAGAGGAAGATGGGCACGGATGTTAGCTCAGGGCCAGACTTCCTCAGCAAAAAGAGGAGGATTGGCGGCACATGTTAGCTCAGGGCTATCTTCCTCAAAAAAAAAAAAAAAAAAAGAAAGAAAGAAAAAGTCAAAACTATACAGAAAATTACCCAAGGAGAAGTCTTGTTTACATACCTTCCTCGCAAAGTCCATTTCCCTTCCATCTATGGTAACTATTTTGTTGATTTCTTATTTATCCATCAGATATTTCTTTTTACAAATATAACATTTTGTTTATATGTATGCGTGTATATATATTAATGGGTGTACATAATTTTATTTAAATTTTTATTGTAAAATATAACAAAACAGAGAGAAAACGCATAAAACAGTTTAACAAGTTGTTATAAAATGATCACCCATATAACACCCACCCAAAGGAAGAAAGAGAACAAGACCCTCATTCCAGAAGCCTCCTGATAGCATGTCTTTCCCAAGTTATAACTCCTTCTCTCTCTTCCATTATTCTAGTTGTGCTCATTATTCTAACTTTTATAATATTTATGCCCTTGTTTTTCTTTATAGTTTTGCCAACTTACTGGGCATTCCTAAACAATATATGTAAATTTTGTCTGACTTTCAACTTCATATAAATGAAAACATACACTGCGAATTCTGTTGTGTCTGGCTTCTTTTGCTCAATCGTATGTATTTAAGATTCATCCGTATTCTCTCATGTAATAGTACTTCATCCATTTTCACTGTTATGTGGTATTTCATTGTATGATTATATTACACTATATTTTACATTCTACTATCGATGGGGCTATCAGGAAAAATACCACGATCAATATTCTTGTGCATGTAACTTTACAGTCCACATGAGCGTGTGTTTCTGTAGGGTGTCACCTGGCAGTGGTTTTGCTGATCAGAGAGTAGGTGTGTCTTTAGACTTATGGATTCTGCCTATTTTTAAAAAGCGATTTTACCAGTTGACTCTCTCACCAGTAGTCCTTGTCATTCCACATTCTTGCCAGCATTTGATATTACCATTTTTAAATACTTGTCACAAATTCTGGGTGTGTAGTAGTGGCTCGTGTGATTTTAACTTCAATTTCTCGATTACTTATGAGATTACACATTTTATTTTAAGTTTTGGATATTTGAATACCTGATTGACCATTGACTGGGGAGCCCATCCTTTCCCCATAGCTCTGCAGTGCATCTTCATCATGAATCATGTGTCCATGTGTGGGTCTGTTTTGGGGCTCTCTATTCCGTTCAGTGAATCTGTTTGTCTACCCCAGAACCAATACCAGGCAGTCTGCATTACTATAGTTTTGTAATAATTTTGGATTTCTGGTGGACAAGACCTGCATTTTTGTTCCTCTTTAAAAGGGCATGGGCAATTTTTTGGCCTTTTGCACCTTCGTATGACTCTTTTTAATCAATTTGCGGAATTAAAAAAAATTGCTGTTGAGATTTTAATTGTGATTATATTGAATTTGTAGTTTAATTTGGTATCAACTGAGATATTATTAACATGGTGTATCTTTCCATTAATACTATTTTTGTTATTTATTTCTAATGTAATTCATTGTGACCAGAAAACGTATTTCACATAATTTGTCTTTTGAGATTTAGTGAGACTCAATTTTTTACCCAGTATACAATCAATTTTGTAAATGTTCCACATGTGTATTCTATAATTGACAGCTTTATAAATAGAACTGGTTTTAAAATCATGTTGTTCAAATCTTCTACATCATTACCAATCTTTTGTCTACTTATTTTACCAAATACTGAGAGATATGTATGAAAATCTCTCAGGATGATTGTGAATTTGTCTGCTTGTCCATGTGTTAGGGTGTATTTTGAAATTTGCTTTATTTATTTAACACCATATTATTAGATGCATAGCTATTTATAATTATTACGCATTCCTGGCAAATTGAATTTTTTATCATTATAGAGAAACCTTTCTTATTTCTACAAATGAGGTTTGCATTAAGGTCTATACCAACGTCCTTTGGTTACTATTTGCATGATGTATCTTTTCCTACTAGATTTGTTTGAATCAGGATTCAAACAAGGTACACACATTGCATTTGGTTAAGTCACCTACCTTTCTCTTAATAGTTATAGTGCTATTCAAATTAGCTATTACCTAGTAGGTGACTTGTAATAGTTTGTGCTTTTCAATGAATTGGTCCATTTCATCTAAGATGTCAAATTTACAGGTGCAGAGTTGTTTGTAGTATTTCCTTATTATATTTTTGATGTCCGCGGAGTCTGTGGTGATAGCCTCTGTTTCATTCCTGGCATTGGTAATTCTTGTCTTCTCTTATTTTTCACTTGATTTTTCTATATTTTCAGTTAAATGTGATAAGAAATGGATTTTTCAACAAATTCTACTTTGGCTTTGTTGGGATCTTTGAAAGAATAGATTGATGCCCTTCATTGCATCTTTGTTTCTGGGAAATTTTCCACCATTATCTCTTCCAATAGTAATTATTCCTATTTTTTCTCTTTTTTCCTCTGGCACTCCAATCAGATTATGTTCTATTTTTCTCACTCTATTCTTTGTATCTTCCCTTTCTTCTGTGCTTTTTGTCTTTTTCCCTCTTCACTTATTTTTGGATTTTTCTCTCCAATGTGTGTAGCAACTCACTGCTTGTCTCTTCAGTTGTGTTCAATGTGCTGTTAAACCCAATCACTGGTTCTAACTTTTAGGTATTGTAGTTTTTTACTTCCATCATTTCGGTTGATTCTTTTTCAAATCTCCAAAATCTTTTCTTATAGTTCCTGGGTCATTGCTGAGATTTTCAAATTAGACTTTTATTTCCTTGAACATAGTAAGCATAGTTGCTTTATATAATGAAGTTCTTTGAAGTTAATTTTGGACTTCCTCTTTTCTCCCTATCCCATGATGTTCCTAAGCGATTTTCTTATTCCTATGGCTCTGACACCATCCATAATTACAATGAATTCCAAATTAATCTTTCTGACCCAGACCTCTCTTCTGAACTCCAACTGCCATGTGGATGCCTCTCAAGCATCCAAAAGTTCAATATAGCACTAACTTCTGGATCACCTTCCTCCTTCCCCAATCACTAAAATGTAATCTAGACTGCCGGAAACACAGTAAGTACCATTATCTCCCAATTGCTAAAACCGGGAATCTGGGACTCATTGATATCTCCCGTGCTTTGATGCTAGCATCCAACCAATTATCTAGTCCTGTGTACTCTACATCAAAAATATATTGTTTCAGTTGTTCAGGATATGATCTGGAGATCTAATGTACAGCATGGTGACTATAGTTAATAATATCTATTTTATATTTCAAACTTGTAAAAGGGTAGATCTTAAGTGTTCTCATCATACACACAGAAAAAGGCAACTGTGTGAAGTGGTGGATATGCTAATTAGTTTAATTGTAGTAATCATCTCACAATGCATATGTGTATTAAAATACTATGTTGTACACCTTAAATACACACAGTTTTATTTGTCAATTATGCTTTGATAAAGCTGGAAAAAATTTAGCTACTAAAAGAATAAAAAAAATACATATATATATATATATATATATATATATATATATATATATATAAATCTGGAACCCACTCTGTTCCCTCTGTCTCTGCTTCTCTCCATCCTTGCCCATTGCCAAGCCTGTTATAAAGTCCTTTAAACTGGGCTTCCTATTTCACTTCTTAGTCCCGATATCTTCATAACAGGTTTTCACAAAAGAGCAAGTAGGAGCTTTTTAAAATGTAAATTGGATCGTGTTACTCACCTTCATTGGACTCTAATTTTCCTGGGGAAAAAGTCAAAATCATTAACATGATGTACAAGAGACTACATGACCTGAACTTGCCTATATCTCTAACCTCACCTAATGCCATTCGTTATGCTCCGAGAGCATCAACCTTCTTTTGGTTTCTCAAGATTTCCACCTCCCCTTCTATGTCAGGAAATCTCTCTCTTCAAAGAGACAGTAAGCTCCATGAGGACAAAGACTTCCATCTCTTTTTCACCGTTGTTTACAAAAGCACCAGGAACAGTGCCAATTTGTACTTGGGGAATACTGTTAGGTGAATGCAGCCAAGATTATTATGAGCATAAACTCAAAGTCGAATGCAAGAGTTGGACATAGGAAACCTTAAAAATGAACAAGGAATAGGACTTGAATTATTAATTATTTTTTTAAAGATTGGCCCTATTCTAACATGTTGCCAATCTTTGTTTTTTGTTTTCCTTCTTCATTTCCCCAAAGCCCCCCAGTACGTAGTTGTATATTCTAGTTGTAGGTCCTTCTAGTTCTGCTATGTGGGACGCCACCTCAGCATGGCTTGATGAGTGGTGCTAGGCCCCCGCCCAGGATCTGAACCTGCAAAACCCTGGGCCACCAAGGCAGAACACGTGAACTTAACCACTTGGCCATGGCACCGGCCGCTGGACTTGAATAATTTAACTTCAAATTAAGATGCAGAGAGGTAGCAGATGTGACTAAAACCCTCCCCATGGAGAGCTAAGAAAAAAGGATAAAACATTGGAAAGTCATCCAAAACAATAGCTGACTGATATGGCACAGTAGGGGGAAGTTGAGGACGTAGAAAGAAAGATTTGTGCAGAGATAATAGACTCATTTATCACAGCAATGTATAGAATGTTCAAGCAATGGAACAATATAGAGAAAATATTG